ATTAAAATTAAAATTTATTTTTTTATGTAACTTAATGATTAATTATTTTTTAGTACAAATTAAAAAAACTTTATTTTTATAAAACCCTTTAATTTTTTTTCTTAACTTAATGTCACTAAAAATCCTCTAAGTTAGCAAAAAGAGTCATTATCATCCCTCTACTTTAAAAGAATTCAAATAAACCCCTCAACTTTAGAGAGAGAAAGCCATCATCAGTTTCTTTGACTGACTTATAATGTCATCTAGCCTACCGTTAAAATTCTCTAAATTTTAACGTAAAATGACATCGGTGGTCTCTTAATTTTTAGTTCATATTCACTTTGATCCTCAACTTAGATTATTCAATTTAGTCATCAATTTCAATTTTTTCTTATTACAATTTAGTCCCTAAGTATTTAAAATGGTTAAATTTAAGTTTAAGAATTTCTAATTTCATACATTTCAATCAATTCTTTTTTTTAAACAAATAATAGAGATCATGTAATTTCTAATAAAACTACATTCAACCTACTCTAGTTTTAATAAAATCAAGACTAGAGTAGTAAATCAAAATATTTAAAAATTCATATTATCAATGTGTAAAATCAGGTTTTTAATATCCAATTTGAAATCATATGAAGTATTACAACTAAAATGATGAAGTTGTAAGATGATGTAAATATGACTTGTTAGTGTAAAGTAAATGCGGTTTATGTGGTTATGAGTATATAGTAAAAAATGAAAGTAAATATCTTCTTTCAAAATAATGTTTTTCAATCCAAATTAGCTACACTGAACTAAATAACTTTAAATATTAAATAAGGACAAACTCTCTGATGTTGGAGTTCCCTTTCTTATTCAATGGTTTTTATTTTATAATTTGGTTCAATTCAAACTACGAAACAAGAAACACATCTTTATTTTACCCTTTGATCATATTGTTATTCTCTTTGTTTCTCTTTTTTCTTTTTTATATGAGATATATGCATGTAATTAAAGAGTTTAATGTTCCTTTTTTCTTTATTTTTAAGGATCCTAAATTAAGTATAAAAATTTTAATTTTTCATTTTATTTAAACAAATTTCATATATTTTAATTTGTTATTTTAGTCCTAATTGTATTGATATTTGAATAAGTTAAATATTAAAGTTTGAGTATAAAAGTGCACAAGATCTAAAAGTTAAGGGACCAACATTGTTCTTCCATGGTAATGGAAAATGCTTGCCTTATTTAGGAAAAAAAAGGTTAACAGACCAACAATGTTATTTTACAATTAAACCTTTAAGGATTTTAACGAGAAATAGATGGCGTTATAATGACAGTTAACGGAGGATTATGATTGCCCCTTTTCCAAAGTTGAGGGATCTCAATGAATTGTTTTAAGGTAGAAGGATGAAAATGATTCCTTTTATAAAGTTTAGGGATATTTAGTGGCATTAGGCCTTTTTTCTTCAAAACGAGTGAAGAAGTAGGGGATGGAGGAACTATCAGCAATGTGATCTAGTAGAACCATCAGCAATGTGGTAGTAGAGTTTCCTGCACATTTAGCCACAATTTTAAAGTTTAATCTCTAATCTTTAAGTACAAAAAATAAAATAAAATAAAATTAGGGGATGGAGTAGTGTGATTGTGTAGTTTTAAATCATGTACTTTGTGCCCCTCCACATTGCCCTCAAACAGGAGAGTAGCCGTCAGGCCACACACAAGTTGGAGCATAAAACCCTTTTATTTCATCCATGTTTTGGGTTTTTCACAATCAATAAGAATTTAGGAAGCTAATATATGTTTTAAGTGAGAACTTTAAAATATATAGAAAAAGTTTAGAAGAGCGAATTGATATGCTTATTGTATATCCACTAATCAAAAACAACAAAAAAATGTTTAAAACTTTATATTTGAGTTTATTTTGATAAACTTTATTACGTGTATAAAATTAATTAAAAGTTGAATTCAACTAAAATAATATTTAATCTTAATAATAAAATTTAAACAAAATCAAAGATATAACTAGAGTAGATGGATGGTGTTATTATCACATTTTTTATCTTAATT